TCATTGGAATCTGGATTGGGATGGCATTATATATGTAGATTGCTTTGGGTAGTATTGACATTTTCACAATGTTAAGTCTTCCTGTCCAGGAGCATGGTGCATTCTTCCATTTTTGTAAGTCTCTTTTGGTTTCTTGTAGTAGTGTTTTGTAGTTTTCTTTATATAGGTCCTTTGTTTCTATGGTTACATTTATGCATTCCCTAAATATTTCATCCTGTGTGTGGTGGTGATGTGCCGTGGGGTCAGTTCCGACTTATAGCGACCCTGTACAGGGTTTCCAAGGCTGTAAATCTTTACGAGAGCAGAAAGCCTCATCTTTCTCCTGCGGAACCGCTGGCTGTTTTGACCTGCTGAACTTGCGGTTTGCAGCCCAATTTGTAACCACTACACTACCAGAATGGGTGGCTATTATGAATTGTATTGCTTTCATTATTTCTTTTTCAGTATTGTCATTATTAGTATATAGGAATCCAACTGATTGTTGTATGTTGATCTTGGACCCTGCCACTTTGCTAAATCTTTTAATGAGTTCCAGTAGTTTTTTTTGCTGAATCTCTGGGGTTTTCTATGTATAGGATCATATCATTTGCAAATAGAGACTTTTACTTCCTCTTTGCCAATTTGGATATCTTTAATTTCCCTATCTTTGCCTTATAGCTCTGGCTAAGACGTCCAAAACAATATTGAATAAAAGTAGTGATAAAGGGCATCCTTTATCTGGTTCCTGTTCGCAAGGGGAAGGCTTTCAGTTTCTCTCCATTGAGAGTGATGTTGGCTATTGATTTTGTATATATGCTCTTTATTATGTTGAGAAATTTCCCTTCAATTCCTAGTTTATTGAGTGTTTTTATCAGGAATGGATGTTGGATTTTGTCAAATGCGTTTTCTGTATCAATCGATATGAACATGTGGTTCTTTATCTTATTTATATGGTGCATTACATTGAATGTTTTTCTGATGTTGAACCATCTTTGAATCCCTGGTATGAATCCCACTTGGTCATGATATATTATCTTTTTGATGTGCTGTTGAATTCTGTTAGCTAGGATTTAGTTGAGAATTTTTGCATCTATGTTCATGAGAGATATTTGTCTTTAATTTTCTTTCTTAATGTTGTCCTTCCCTGGTTTTGGTATGAGGGTTATGCTTACTTCATAGAATGTATTAGGGAGTTTTCCATCCTCTTCTGTATTCTGGAATAATTTGAGTAGAATTGGTGACAGCTCTTCCCTAAATGTTTGGGAAAACTCACCAGTGAAGACATCTGGACCTAGACTTTTTTTTTTGGTGTGAGTTTTTTGATGACTGAATGTCTTTCTATAAAGGAATTTAAAGCATCTTCTTAGAAGGTGAACATGTATTCATACCCTTTATTTCTGCTCTCTTGGTCTGGGATGCATACCTGCATGAGCGCTTCCTTTTCAAATACTTGAACTAAGGGGCTTACACTGTAAGAGCTTCTGATTCACCACTCGTCTTGGTTTTCTCTCCCTTGTAATACAGGCAACACAAATCTCTAGTTCTTGCTTTTTCTTTTGATCTCTGCTCCTCTCTCAGGGAAGGACAACCTTTGACTCTTCTCCCCCTGAATCACTCACTAATCTGATCTGACTGTCTGTAGACGGTGCCGCTTCAGTAGGTGACCACTGCTTCCTTGAATCCATCCAGAGGAGCATACGTGAATGGTTGGAATGGTTTTCTCTTTCTTTGTCTTTTTCTAACATCTAGAGGCGGTCTGCATTTCTTGGTTTATGACTTTCTTCCATCTTCAAAAGCTAGTGATGGGGCGTTGAGTTCTTCTCAGTAATCACTTAGACCCTTAAGATTCCATTGGATTCTCTTGAATAATCTAGGCTATTCTATTTTAAGGTTCCCTGGGTAGCAATTGCTATTCCACCTGCAACTTTAATATTCCGTCTGCAAGCTTTTGCCCCTTTGCATGTCTTGTATACAGGTTCTGGAGGTCTCCGAATTAGCATGTAGATCATTCTTTGTACTTCAAATATTTGAAGCCATATTCCACCCACCCCAAGACGCTGCTCCAGGTGCTACTTCTTTGTTTCAGGGGCTGCTTTCTGCTGTTTGCCTATCCGGGTGCTTTTGTCTGTGCTCTTTATTCACCTCTGCAGGAGCCTCCTACTCATTATCTTCAGCCTCTCCACACACACTCACCTCCTCATTCCTATTGCCACCTTTGGTTGTTTTTTTGTTGTTGTTTTTAATGCTTTATTGTGAATAATGTGATAGTTTACATGGGAGGACATTAGCTTCACATTGTTCCCATCGTATATTGTTTCCTTGCCATGGTTACAATCCCCTCCATGCATCATCCACCAACCAAAGGGTATACCCTACAAGTCTGCCCCCCGGTTGTACACACACAGCCCCTCTTCCTCTCCGGGTCCAAAATCCCCAGCCACTCCATCTCCCTACGTCACGGTCTCTGCCTCCATCCCTGACATCACTACTTCTCTGGTTACAGTCCTGCTCTCTGATCTTTTTTCTTGATGATCCCAGGGACCTCTGCTCCTAGACTGCAAAGTTAATCACTCCCCTCCCTTTGCCACAAAACGTCTACCTTTACATTTCCAGCCCTTATAATCAGTCCTGATAATAATTATTCACTATTGTATCACAAGAGACCTATCCGCATTTCATTTCATCAGCCCCTCCTAGACAGATTGGATACTACTCAGTGGAGATTCTACCTTCCTCCATGCCCTCTGTATCTAGGTTTCATCTTGAAGGCTTGTAAGCCAGTCACATGCCTCTGTAGCCCCTCCCATTCTGGGTAGCCAATATCCAAGTTGCCCATCCCTGTCCTCTCTGTGTGTGGAGTGGGTGGGAATGATCCTTGCTGTGAAGACTTGTTCCCTCTTTTGAGTTACTGCTTCCATAGGTGTAGGTCAAGTTCATCAAATTGTGTCAGATTATTATTTTTTCCCTATTCTTTCTTCTTCTGGTTGAGCTCTGATCATCAAGTCATTGAAGCCAGGTCAAGTGGGTGTTATCTGCAAGTGTGCCACCTTTGGCTTTTGTGGCAAAGTTTTAGAGGGTTTCCTGTCTTCAGAATCCTCTTCCTCCTGACTGTTCTTTCTTTATCCTTGTTACCACACTCCTTCTTGTACCTCTCTCCATCTCATGCTGGGCAGTTGCTTTTACCATCACTGTTTCAGATTTATCATCTTGATCTTCCTGCCCATCCTCTTTGGCACCTCAGCCCTTCTTATTGGGGGTAGTTTTCCTGTCCATCCTGCCTGCCTTGTTTTGCATGGCTCCCTTTGTATCTGGTATGGCTGCTACTATGTATGGATGCTTGCTTGGAAGTATGGTAGCTGCGTTCATCTGTCTTGGGGTGATACTTGCTTTCTTGGCAGCTGCAGTCTTTTCTGCCGGAGAAAACACACCTTTTTTTTCCCTCTGGAGTGTGGCTGGCTTCTTTCTTGCCTTCTCAGTGAGGACAGCCTCATTTCCATTGGTCATCTATATCTTCTGATGTCTTATCCATGCTATCTTTTACTTCCTTTGGGGGAGTAGTGGCTTTCTTTGGTTTCTACCTGCAGTTGGCATCTTATGATAACAGTGTGGGCGGTGGATGAATGGCTAGGATGAGCCTAGAAGAAGTTGAGCAGTGTTGGTGTAGGGTTCCAGTGCTGAGGGTGCTCATATGAAATTAGAACAGAAGATTCCTTAATGGTAGGAATTACTTACAAGTATGGATAGAAATTGCTCTAACAAATGATCTGAGTTTTTAATTTTAAATATTTTAGATGCATTTTTACATAAAATACCTTAAACCAGCTCACAGTTTTTGCTTTTCCTTGATTGGTCTTGGCATTCCTTTTTTGCCTTTCTTTTCTGTTGGTGTGTTGTTGTTTTAAGTGCCACTGAGTCAGTTATGAATTATAGTAATCTTGTATAGGGCCTCCCAGGAGCAGCTGGTGGGTTTGAACCATTGATCCCGTGGTTAGTAGTCCACTGCTTATCCTACAGCACCACACCAAGAGTCCTCTTCTGGTGTGGCGCTGTGGGTTAATGCACCAGACTGCAAAGTTGTTTGAACTGAGAGGTTGGTGGTTCAAGCTCACCAGCTGCTCTTCAGAAACCCTATCCAGGGTCGCTATGGGTCAGAACCAACTTGACGGCACGTACAACAACAACAACAACAACAATCATAACCTTCACTAGTTAGAATTCCTTGCTTTTCATTTGTTTCTTCTCTCCCTGCCCACCCCCATCCCATTGCATGCTACATCTATTGTCAAAATAGTCTAAAATTCAACTCACAAATCTTTAATAAGATGGAAAGTGTATCAAGTATTTAAAAACAATGTAAAAACCAAACTTATGAATCGCTTCTGCCTCATAGCAGTCCTGTGGGACAGAGTACAACTGCCCCATAGGGTATGTGTATACTGAGTCACAATGTAAAATTGAATCGTGATTTGTGAACTGTAGGAAATAATAAATCATTGTAGCCCATTGTACTCACAGATATGTACAGACAGACACGTAATTGAAACAAAGTTTCAGGGAATAGAAACCTTGTATGAAGAATGCGGTCATATATTTTCTGTCTCACAGGCCTTTGCTCCACTAACTCATGAATAGATTATCTGGGGATTACGCATCCTTGAGTCCACATCGGTGAAGACTGTAGGGCTGTCGGAGGGAGCTACATGGCTCACAGATTTAGGAGGAAAGGGCTTCCTGAATTTAGTATGGAAGATAAAAGTATTCCTGCCCTGCTTAAAGTCCCCTGAATTGAATCAGGACCTAAATGGACCCTCTCAAGGTGTATCCAGGAAGGCCTGGGCCTTTGTGCCCCTCCACGTTTCTAAACCGTCTCAGTTCAAGAACCAGCTTCCATCACCTCTCCTCCACAGAGTCTCCCTAACTGTTCAACCTTTATTCTGATTCCTGCTGTTGCTGTTGTTAAGCACTGGTCAAGTTGGTTCTGACTCATAGAGACCTTGTTTGACTAGGGTTTCCGAGGAGCACCTGGTGGGTTTGAACCGCCCATCTCTTACAGTTAGCAGCCCAGTGCTTATCCTACAGAACCACACCAGGACTTATAATATTATGTTGTTGATTGATTAGTGCCGTGGAGTCAGTTTCAACTCACAGTGACCCTATATAGGGTTTCCAAGGAGCAGCTGATGGATTTGAACTGCCGACCTTGCAATTCAAACCAACATTGCGGTCCAGTGCTTATCCGACAGTGCCACACCACTTTCTAGTATTTTTCTATAGAGATACTGTGTGTCACCAACAAATGACCCCATTGACTGCAGCATTCAAAAATATTTGTTTATGAACGTATCAGAAGGGAGTTTGAAAAAACCTTCAGTGATTTTACTGACCTGCCTGGCTTCCCTCTCCTGGCAGGCTTCGTTATCGTACGGTAATGATGGGTATTTATTTTTCATAGAGGATGGTTGTAATCAATCACTTTTGTACACCTTATTTTGTAACCAGATTGTGTTTATAGATTCTAATTTGCAGTAGTTTTAAACCATGTGGTTAAACTTGCTAATACTTATTTTATTTTCTCAAGGGCTACAAAACTTTATAGAGGAAGCTTGGTTGCACTCTGCATTTCCAATGTATTTTTCATACTTCCTTGGCAGTTTGCTCAGTTTGTACTTCTTACTCAGGTAATTTCAGTATATTTGATTATGTGAACCCATTTGTACACCAGTAGAGAACTGAGAGGCAATATGATTTTAAGTCCTAAAGCGCTTTTCATTATATATATAAGAATTATTTATTATTAATAATAAGTTTTTCATTTGCCAGTAAAGCACAATTATTAAATTCAAATTTGTAAGAGCGTATATCTGTATTACTCACAATTTGTTAGTGTGCTTGCTTAAAAAATGACTAGTGCTATATTTTTTTAAGTGTTTCTCTTAAATAAACTGTAGGTAAGAAGACAAGACGGTAAATACTTCATTTAGTATATAGCTCCAACCTGCAGTTTTTCTGTCGTTTTTCCATGTGCCCTTGCCTCCTTTAAAATAGAAATATATTAGAGGCTTTAAAAAGTTCATGGAAAAATGGAATTAAAAGAGAATGGTATTTTTCTCCTGAACTTTTCCAGGCCCCTCTTTTAAGGCAAGTTGCTTGTTGAACAAGAGAGGGTCAGTTGGAAATGTGTCCATTTATTTCCATCCTGCCTCATGCTTTTCTTTATGTGGATCGTATTCATTTAACCCAGCTTGAGTTGGTTTTTAGTGTTCTTTGGAATGTCTTGCTTGCAAAGTGGGGTTTGACCTGGATTTTGAGTCCTGACTGATCAGTGACTTCTTGACCTGCTTCAAGTCTGAACTTTTAATAGCTTCTGTTTTTCATGAAAAAATAGAGACACTAAAAGAAGCTGCTTTGTTGGGATATGGTTATGATTAGGTGGGGTAACGAAAATAAGACTTTTAACATGGTATCTGGCACTTTTAGCAAGATGCCAGTAAGGTTAGCCACTTTGATTACTGGTGTTTTTGTTTTGGCTTGTTTTTTAAAACATACTCACTCCATTTGCACACACTTCTTACTTTAATCCCATCTTAGACTCTCCTGTCTTCTTCAGTTTGATAACATTGTACAGTTTCTAAGTTTAAAAAATCTCTTAAGAGTTTCCCTTTAACATTTACCCTCTTAGTATGCTGTGAAATACATTTCCCGTGTTTCCATTTAGTGAGGACAGTCTGTTCCAAACAGACGAGGAAGAAGAGACAGGCAGGTCCACTTCTGAAGGAATTCGCTCCTAAAACCTTAGAAATAGCATAGTGCCTGAAAATGAGCCCCTCAGGTTGGAAGATACACAAAATGTGATCCGAATGGATGGTATTGAAGGAAGAGGTCCAAGCTGTACTGAAGGCCTTAGCGAACAACAGGACTGCAAGATCTGACAGCACAGCAACTGAAATGTGTCAGTAAACTCATGCCATCGTGGAGCACTCATTAGCCGGTGCCATGAAATTTGAAGGACAGCTACCTCACCAACCAGTTGAAAGAGATCTATATTTATACCCTTTCAAAGAAAGGTGATCTGACAGGATGCGGAAGTCATTGACAATATAGTTAGCATCACACGCAAGTACAATTTTGCTGAAGATAATTTAAGAACAGTGCAGCAGCACATCGGCAGGGAAAGGCCAGAAATTCAAGCTAGAGTCAGAAGAGGACATCGAACTAGGGATAACATCCCTGGTGTCCGATGGATATTGGCTGAAAGCAGAGAGTACTAGAAAGATGTTCACTTGTTTTTTATTGACTCTGCAGTGGCATTTGACTCTGGGTCATAACAAACTATGGCTAGCGTTACAAAGAAAGGGAGTTCCACAACACTAAATATTTTTCATGTGGAACCTGTATGTAGAACAAGAGGCAGCCCGTCGTACAAAGGGATACCACGTGATTTAACATCAGGAACAGTGTGCTGAAGAGTAGCTGGTGATTGTGTCCTTTCACCAGACTTATTCAATCTGTATATTAAGCAAATCATTCTAGAAGCTGAGTTATATGCAGAAGAACCTGGCATTAGGATTGGAAAACTTTAGTATACAGGGCCATTGTTCGCTCAAAGTCAAGAGGACTTGAAGTACTTGCCAATGACTATGAAAGACTACTGCCTTCAGTGTGGATTACACTTCAGTGTGAAAAAACAACAACAAAATTCCTCACAACTGAACCAATAAACAATAGCATGATATACAGAGAAAAGATTGGAATTGCCAAGAATTTCATTTTACTTGGATCCACAATCAGTGTTTTTAGAAATAGCAGTCAAGAAGTCAAAAGTCATATTTCATTAAGTAGCTGTGCTTCAAAAGACCTCTTTAAAGGGGTAAAGAGCAAAGATACCACTTTGAGGGTAAGGCTCCCTTGACCCAAGCCAGGGTATTTTCACCTGTCTCATATGCATATGAAAGCTGGATCATGAATAAGGAAGACAGGAGAAGAATCATGCATTTGAATTTGGTTTTGGTGAAGAATATGTAACGCACCTTGAAGAGCTAATAGAATAAACAAGTCTGTCTTGGAAGAAATGTAACCAGAATGTTCTTTGGAGGCAAGAATGGTGAGCATGCTTCTCAAGTACTTTGGATATGTTATCAGGACGGCACAGTTCCTGAATAAGAGCATCATGCTTGGGAAAATCAAAGGTCTCCCAAAAATAAGAAGGCTGAGTGAGATGGGCTGACACAGTGGCTGCAGCCATGGGCTCAACATTCCAACAATCGTGACTCTGGAGCAGGATCAAGCAGTGCTTCATTCTGTTGGATGTGGGGTCTCTGTGTGTCAGAACTGACTCAATGCCACAGAACAAAAACAGTTGTACTGGGATTCCCACGAGTCATAATCAACTGGAATGGGCTTGGGGTTTTTGGTTGGTGGAGGGAAAGGAGATATTATTTCTCTGTGGGTTTCGATTGAATGAAAGCAACACATACTTCCTCAAAGTTATTATGTAATTTCTGTCACCCTTATACAGTGCAGTGTTGTTCCCTATGGGTAATCCTAGGTTAAAGGGAAATCTTAGTGTTTCTCTTGCTATTGGGAAAATTTCTTAGTTGCTTAGAAATAAAATTTGGTGACTAGAACTTAAGTTTTATATGTAAGTATTCAGGTCTTTTACACTTGTGTGTACAATCGTGTTGTAAGAGGAGCATGGAATTTAATTTGAATTTCTTTGTCCATGAGGAAGAATTGAGAGACAGTGTTTGGCTTAGTATCTCTGTATTTTACCAAGAGGCACCTTGTCATTATCCGATCCTTTAACTTGTCTAACTCTAATATTATTAATGTTCAAGCTAAATACATAAACCATTCTTCAAAACTAAAAAATGAAAATTTCTTTGCAGTGGAAGTACTCCTCCTAATTTGATCAATTTTATTATGATTGGTGCTTGAATGCTGTGTTAATAAACAAGAACACGTATAGCGTAACTGTTGTTATGAAATGCTGTCAAGTAGGTTCTGACTCACAGCGGCCCTGTATAGGGTTTCCAAGGCTGTACATCTTTAGGAGTAGAAAACCTCATCTTTCTCCCAAGGATCAGCTGGTGAGTTCAAACCACCCACCTTCTGGTGTGCAGTCCCATACTAATTGTACTGAGCCACTGCGCCCCTAGTGTCCAACAAACAGAAATAACTGTATTTTCACTCACACATGCATTGCACAATTTTTGAGTTAAGTGTATCTTCCTAAATATGTATTAGGAAAGCGCAGTGACTCCATAGAATAAGCACTGAACTGCAAACCACAAGGTTGGTGGTTCAAGCCCACCAATCATTCATTCCGCTGGAAACAAAATAAAGCTTTCTGCTCTACAAAGATGTACAGCCTTGGAAATCCTTTATAAGGTTCCTTGTGAGTTGGAACCAACTCCACTGCACACAACAACAGTAGTTATGTGTTAATTATTATAATGGGGTGGGTGGGACAATTTATAATTGACGGTAGAGTCAACCTGAATTTAACTAGCCCTGGTGTGGCACATTGTGGATAAACACTGGACTGCTAACCACAGGCTCGGTAGTTCACCCACCAGTCGCTTCTTGGAAACCCTTTATAGGGTCTTATGAGTCAGAACCTACTTGATGGCACTTAACAACAGTTGTTTTGAATAATTCACAAAGTTGATAGTTCACATAGGTAATTGAAAGAGTCATGTAAGGAAGAGAAAAATCATTATTTTTTGTATCAATGTGTTGGCTGTATTCAATAATAAATGTTTGTTGTTGTCCTTGTGTGCCATCAAGTTGATTCTGACTAGCAACCCTGTATAGGGCTTCTGAGGACTGACTGGCAGGTCTGAACTGCCGACCTTGCAGTTAGCAGTCAAGGGCTTATCTTGCAGCAGCACATCAGGTATATGAAATAAAATCTCATTTTCTATATCAATTAAAAAAATCAGTGAGGCAACAGTAAAGATGCTATTTTCTTTATGTTTTAGCTGCTTGTTTTATATGCAATTTTTATTTGTAACTTGATTTCTTTTTGAATTTCAGATTGCATCATTGTTTGCAGTGTATGTTGTGGGGTACATTGATATATACAAATTACGGAAGATCATTTATACACACATGGTAATGGTTATTTGTTTTGTTTTAGATATGGTAATGCATTTAAGACTGGTCACTTGGCATCTGGTACCGAGCAAAATGTTAGAGTAGCTGCTTTTCTTATTGTTTGATGATATTAAAACAAACTCATGATCAATATTTGATATGTTCAGTTGAAACTAATTATAATGTGATTTTTATAATCAAAATAAGCACCATTTACAAACTTGTGTTTAATCAACAGATGCTATTTAAGGCCACCCAGAAAATTTCGATCTTGGCTGTTTTATCAGATTTACAATTATGCATTGAATATCCACAATCAGTAAAACAGAGAGTGGGTGAAAGAGAAAAAGAGAATGACATAGTATTCTGGAGGCTTGTGTTAAAAGTCAAGTAGATGAGCTCTGGATCTGTAGGGAATTGGGATGCAACAGTGAGTGGACCTACAAAGATGCCAGCACTAGGGGAGTTGGGGAAAGAAGACAGAGGGTAAGTAAGAGTAAGCATGGGGATTGGATAAGTTCTATGGTTTGTCATAGGATGAGAAGAACTATGGAAAATAGAAAAGGCCAGAGTAAGATCAGCATGCAGTGAGCATCCGATTAAGGTGTTAAATAAGGTGGTCCCAGCAGGTCTTACTGAGAAGATGGGAGGGGGTCGGAATAAAGATTAGAAGGAGGAGAAGTGAACCAAGTTGATAACTTGGGAAAAAAATGCCTGAAGTGGTAGAGCTGTAGGATAAACACTAGACTCAAGGTCGATTTGAACCGCAAGGTGGTGGCTCAAGTCTACCAGCTGCTTCTTAGAAACCATATGCAGGGTCACTCTGAGTCAGAACTGACCAGATGGCACTTAACAACAACAACAAATTGCAGAAACTATGGCCCTAATAAGGAAGACCATAGAATAATTGATGCTTTTGAGTTATGGTGTTGGAGGAGAATATTGAAAGTGCCAAGAGAACCAACAGATCTGTGTTGGAAGAAGTGTGGCCAGAGTGCTCCTTAGAGGAACATGCAGTCTTTTCAGCTTCCTAATGCTCCTTGTAGGCCAGGATGGCCAGACTTTGTCTCTTGTACTTCAAACATATTGTCAAAAGGGACCAGTCGCTGGAGAAGGACATCATGTTTGGTAAGATGGAGGGTCAGAGAAAAAGAGGAAAACCCCCATTGAGATGAATTGGCCAAGTGGCAGCATCAGTGGGTTCAAATGTGGCAACAATAGTGAGGCTGGCCCAGGATTGGGTAGTGTTTCATTCTGCTGTGCATAAGGTCACTTTGAGTCTGCCTGGACTCGATGGCACCTTACAACAACAACATGGCCCTAAGGCTATCCGGTTGATGTTGGGAATCCTTTAAAACTAGCGCCGTCTCTTCATCACTGGGTTTTATGTTTTAGTTGTTTCCTATAATTTTAATATGCCATTTAAATTTTTATTCTGTAATATTATTACATATAACAGGACATTTACAATGCATAGGGAAACTTTGAGCAAAATTTTACATTGAGCCTATCCTTTAACTCAAAGAATAGAACGTGTTCCTTTGAAGCTCTGTGTGCCCCAGAACACGCTCCTATTGTCCTGATCACTTTATTTTCTTTAAGTTTTTATTGTGGATTGAGTGACAGTTTACAGGGCAGATCATCAGTTCTACATTCCACCAATCATATACCTTATTTCATTACAATGGTTATGATCCCCTCAATGTACCATCAGTTAACAGTATTTCTCTCTATTCACTTTAGCTTTAAAAAAAAAAAAGAACAACACTCAGGCATATATAATAATTTAAACCACCAAAAGGCACATTCTGCAAGCCTGCCTCCTGGCTGCCAGCTCTCAGTCCCTCTTTTTCCATGAGTCTAGAGTCCTCAGCTGCTCCCTCTCTCCATGTCCCCATCTCTGCCTCCATCTCTGGTGTCGCTGCTTCTATGGATAGGATCTCAGAGTGTGCTAGTGCTCTTCTCCCTTGATCGTCCTAGTGTCCTGTTTCTGGACTGTAAATTTAACTATTCTCCCGTTTTTGTTACAAAATTTCTACCTTTACAATTGTGACAGTCACAATGAATCATGAAAACAATTACTCACTATTGAATCTTAACAATCTTATCCCCATCTCTTTTTACTAGACCCGTCTAGACAAGATGAAAACTATTCAATGGAGACTCTATCCTCCCCCCACACAAAACTAAACTCCCTGTTGAAACCTTGTAAGCCAGTCACTTCATGCCTTTATTGCCCCCTCATTTTAGGTAGCCAGTGTCTTAAGTTCCCTGTCCCTATCTACCCTATGTACAGAGCGGATAGCATCCTTCCTTCTCTATTGGTATCATACTTACTACCTCCATGAGTATGGGTCAAGTTCATCAAATTGTAGCAATTTACCCTCATTTCCTTTATAATTTTTTTTTTTTTTCTATCTTCCTCTAGTTGAGTTCTGAATATCAAGCCATGTAGGCTAGGTCAAATGGGTACTATCTGCAAGTTTGGATGTTCTTGTGCATCTCTGCTCACTTCGTATCAGCTAGATGCGTCACTCTCAGCTCTAGCCCTCCATGGGCTCAGGTGTCCCCAGGTTTCACCACACTTTGGACCAACTTTGGAGATAGAAGCCCTTCCTTTTCTCTCTCTCATCTCCAGGTCCATGGGAGCCAATGGACTGTGGTTGAACTCAGCCCATTTCTTCATTGCTGCCTTTCTCCCTCTTTCACTCATCAGTAGACCAGTGTGATCTCCAACAAGCATACATGCCTGCTCATATGTTCCCTTTGAGTGTCAGTCTTAGAGGAGGTCCTGATTACTTTTTAACATAGTTAATTTGCTTTTCTTGATGACTTTACCTCATATGTATCCATAAATAATATATATTTTTAGTTGCTAAATATTGCTTTTGTTTTAGGGTTTATAAAATTTGTGTCATTTTGAGTGATTTGTATTTCTGTTCAGGTTCCTGAGTTTTTTATGTTGATGGAGCTTAGGCATTTTCCCTTCTTTATATTTTCTCTTGTATGTTATTTACCGTTGAGTTGATTCCAACTCATAGTGACCCTGTATAAGATTTCCAAGGAGTGGCTGGTGAGTTTGAACTGCTGACCTCGTAGCTCAAAGTGATCTTGCAGTCAAGTGCTTGTCCTACAGCGCCCCACCAGTACTCCTGCTGTATAAATGCAACACAGATTATCCACTTTCTTACTGAAGGGCATCATTTAGGTTATTTACTCTTTATCTCTTATGAGTAATGTTTTACATGCCTGCAGTTATTTCCCGGAGCACATATATTTAGTTTCTTGAGGGTGTTTATCTAGCAGTAGAATTGCTAGGTGGAAAAGTATGTACGTGTCCAACTTTGTAATTTAATACCAGATTGTTTCACCATAATGATTTGAGCACTTCAAACAGCAGTGTATGATCCTGCACTTTATTCTACATCCTTTTTCATTTTGTCAGCCTGGTGAGTTTAATCTGCTATCTTGTGAGCTTAATTTGCATATCTCATTCGCAGTAAAGCAGAGCAGCCTTTGGTATGTTTGTTGTTGTTGTTAAGTGCCATCGAGTCAGGTCCGACCCATAGCGACCCTGTACCTTTTTTTCCTTTTTTCTGTGCCTTGCTTATTCATGGCTTTTATATATTTTTTCTCTTGTACAATTTAAAAAAAAATAATGAGTTGTGGTACCTCATACATTTTAGAAATGCCTATGTCAATTGTGTATTGTAAGTATCCCATTTTTGACTTGCTTTTCCCTTTTTTTACAGTGCCTCTGAATGAAAAGTCATCAGTATTAATTTAGTAAGCACAATGAAACTCATCCTGCATAGTTGTCATTGCTTGGTGGTTTCAGTCCTTACTTAGAGGCCATCACGATATTCATCATGGTTTTCTTCTAAAACTTAAGAGCTTCTCTATTTTTAATAAATGGTTTTTCAAATTATTTCTTGGGTTTGCTTCTAGGTACAATTGCTTTGCTCTTATAAATGGTGTTTGAGGTGAATTATATGTGTTATTGGTGTGTAGAAGTACAATTGATTTTTATATAGTGGTCTAATTTCTAGTAATCTTGCAAAAACACTCTTTATTCTAATACTTTATTTATAGGTTCTCTGTATTTTCTAAATAGCAAGTCTGTCTCTGCATGCTTAGCTTTGTTTTTCTTTCTAATACTATCCCCCTTCCTCTTCAATGTAGTGTGTTATCTAGGACCTCCAGAACAGAATTGCTCGGGAATTCTGATAATGGGCAGTGTGATTCTTTGAAACTACTTATTGTGCTTTGGATGAAGATTTACAGAGCAAATGGTCCATTCAACAATTCACACACCTTTTGTTTTGTGACATTGATTACATTCCCCTTAATGGAGCAGAGCACTCTTCACTTCTTCCTGTGCTTACTCTTTGCTTTAGCCCTTCTTTCCTGCCCCTTCCCCCCATTTGAGCTTGATTCTTGGACAAATGCAGCTCTTGTGATCTCATATGGTTGGTTGTTCTAAGGAGTGCGTATCTCCCTGGTGCTACTTGTTCACTTTATGGGCCTGTCTGTTGTCTGGCTGGAAGTTCAGCCATGGAGGTGAATTTAGTTCTCAACCTGAAGGGTGTCCACTGTCCAGTGGCCATGGTTCTATGGGTTCCACCAGATTCCATCTGACCAATAACCCTGCTATTTTTTTGTGTTTTCTTAAATGATTTTGAGTTCCATGTTTTTCTTTCACTCTCAAGGAGCTCCAGTTGTGATTCCTTCCAGACCAGTTAGCAGTGGGTGTAGTTACATTTGTCTTTCCAGTCTTCTTCGTCTCCAGGGTCCATGTATCAACTTGTAAGTTAGTGTTGTTGCTGTTAATGCATATTGAGTATGTAGTAGAATTTGCATTTGCCAAGAGTTTTTTTAAGTCTTTATTAAAGGACATTCCCTTTTAATTCCTGCTTTGTGAAGAGGTATTTTTGTTTTTTATATTTTGCTTTTCTTTTGAAAGAATCTCAAACTTATAACCAATTTGCAGTTATGCTACAAAGTGTTCTCTGCAGCATGTGTGAATAAGCTGCTTACCTGATAAACTATCACCCCTGAAAGACTTTATACTTTCTATAAACGGAACTCCCAAGACCACCATCAAAATCAGCAAATTAGCATCCATCAGTACTACCATCGAGTTTTCAAATTGGGCTAATTATATAAAAGATGCCCTTTATAGCCAGTAAACTGGTTTAGAAGCAGATTTTGTTTGTTTTTTAAGTTCTCATGATTCTGCTTGTCTTCTTTCAATCTGGAAGCACTGAGTTTTCACCCATGACTTTCATAACCTTGATTGATTTTTTTTTTCAAAGACTATAGACGAGCTCTCTTGTGGAGTAGAATGTCTTTCACTTTGGTTTTGTCTGATGTTCCCTTATGATGCTATTCAAGAAGTTCCTCATTGGCTGAGACACCACAAAACTAATTCTGGTTATTCTCAATATTAGGTAGCCTGGGGTTATTTTCTTGTCTCCTTACTAATTGCATTAACTTTGATCACTTAATTTAAGGTGGTGCTTGCCTTGTTTCTTCATAGAAAATTACATTTCTTTCCTTTTCTGATTAGTAAATGTTTTGTGGGGAAATACTTTGAGACTATGAAAACGTCCCAGTTTTCACCAGACATTCTGTCTGTGTGTCTGTCTATCTCTGTATGAACCCATGGCTTCTATTTTATTCAGTGTAATAGGATCATCCCTTATTTTCATTATGAGTTTAGATGTTGGAATTACTCCATATTTTGTCCAGCTACTTCAGATTGACATCGGTGCCCTTTGGCCATGCCCTCATTCGGTTGTGAGTGCTTTTTAAAGAAAGGCATAGCTGCTGAGTCTCACCGCGTGCTTGTCTGTGTCTGCTTACGTGATCTTGTGCTCTTTTCCCTCCTTCAGTCTGTTACCGAGGTCACTTAACATTACTTGATTTTCCGACATTACGAAGTCTTGCTTTTCTGGATAAGCATCATTTTTATATATTGCTAGATTCAGTTTGCTATGATTTTGTTAGGCGTTTTACAACTCTGTTCATAAATGGGCTTGGAGATAAGTAATAATTATCCTTTCTTATACTTGGTGTATTCTATTTTAGTCTCTGATAATTAATTGGGGTGTATGCCAGCTTTCTGTGTTTTGTGGTAAATCTTGTTTAAGATTGGAAGGACTGCTTCCTGAAATTTCAGTATAACTTGCATGTAGGTATGAAGATAAGCCAACAGGTATTGCTACTAGGATTCCAGTTTGTACATGCATGGATTCATTCCAAACAAAACGTGGTTCAGCATGGTTCTGCCACCAGTGGATGGCTGCTGACAGGGTCTCTCAGTAATATTCTTGTCTTCGTATCATTAATGTATCTTCTCAAATAAAGATCCAGTCAAAACAGTGGCTTCTGGGGGGGATCTGCTGGATCAGCTAAATTCAAGGCAGAGAGGTCTGCTCTGAAGGTTATGGTAACTGCTTTTTGGGATCCCAAAAGGTTAATCTTGATAAACATTCTCAAAAACAAAGGATGAGCACTCATTAGGAATATATTTAAGAAAATGAAAAACTGAATTGGAGAAAAAAGGGCCAAGAAAGTTGTGCCAAGGATTTTTTTTTTCCTTCCCCATCATGACAGTGTACCTGCTCATACAAGGACTGTCTTACAAGGATTTCTCTGGAAAAACTTACCTCATCCCCCTACATCCCTGATCTTGCCCCTTTAGCCTTCTTTTTGTTCCCTAAATTAAAGAACAGTTCAGAGGAATATGATTTGAGTCCTTCTAGGATGCCAGTACTTCCATTTTAACGTGATACAAATTCAGAGTGTAGAGTTCTTCAGGGAAGGGCTTGAGAGACGGTATAAATAACACTGCCTTCACAAGGGGATAGCCCTAGATGGAGAACCAAATATGGCGCCAAACCATCTCTCCCACAGCACTCCTTAGCTGGGTTCTACATTTCATTGTGATGACCACATAGAACTCAGCCAACTCAGTTATGGGGTTTAGGAGGGAAGTTGGTAGGCTACAAGTTCAGGGTCAGAAATGTTCAGGATACAAAAGTTTTCATAATCACAGTTTACCCTGTTAACCATCATTCACATCATATCATCTGATCACTGTCCTTCCTCACCTGCTCTTACTTAGACCCATTAGGAAAAGAGTTGTTTGGTGGGACTTACAAATACTAAGGCTAGTAATGACAAATAACTCACTGCACCCCCTGGGGGAGTCTTGTGGCTCTGCAGGGTAGGCACTGGACTGTTAACCACGAAGTCCATGGTTCCAGCCCACCAGCAGCTTCATGGGAGAAAGATGAGGCTTTCTGCTCCTGAAAAGCTTCAGAAGCTTCAGAAACCCTGTACAGGGTCACTATGAGTCGGAACTGACTCCATGGCACTTAGCACCACTACCAACACCACTTGGAGGATGTGTCGAAAAACAGCAGTTTCACATTTTGATATTTTTGTTTAATAAAGGTTTCTGGGTTTTTGTACCAATATTTTTTACTTACTGTCATACAATTTGCTTCTAAGTGAAGTAGCAAAACCCAGTAGAAAAGTGGCCATTGATTGGAATAAACAATTCGGACAAAACAGTATAATAGTAAATAGTAAAAAAGATGCTGAGACTAGCTCTCAATCTCTCTTGACTACACAAGGAAGAAGGAGTATCAAACTCCACGTGAACCTCACAACTCTCTTTACCCTGTTCTGACACCACCCACCCCTGCCACAACACTCTCTTTCTCTGCTGGGTTTGGTAATCTAGTGCAGTGGTCACTCAGAACTCATGAACAACACTCATGATTAGGGTGTTTATTAGGGAAGTGAACAGGGTACAATTCAGGATAAGATAAACACAGGATACGTACAGCAGTTCTGTGGTCAGGAACGCCTTTACTCAATGTACTACAGATGCGATTCTGGTCCGCACCTTCTCAGCCACGTGGCCTTTTTCCTACTTGGGCAAGTGTTACAAGCTCATTTAGCGCTGTTGATAAATAAATGCCCAAAGGGCGCCCAGGTATGCAAGCTAACCTCCTGCCCGAGGACACTCAGCTTTACTCATTCCGTGGACTGTCTCAGCCATTTCTGCTGCCGCTACTACTTTTCTGTGCATGGGTCTTGAGACCCCAAAACTTGTGACACTTCTTTCCTGATGGTCTTCAGACATTTTGTTCCTGCTTCTGATATGGTTCATTTTAAACCCAACAGAACAGCAAAACTGACTAATCCCCACTTTAGAATCCCTTACATCCTTTGTATGGTCCCACCCAATCGTTTGGTAGGACTTGTGAAGACGATGGAGAGAATTTCCATTGAGTCTGTTCCAACTGATGGCAATTCCAAGTGTGCCAGAGTACACGTGTGCTCCCTACGATTTTCACTGGCTCATTTTCTGGAAATAGTTTAGCAGGACTTTTAGTCTATGGCAGCTGTGGGTGGATTGAGATTTCCAGCCTGGTGCTTAGTAGACCAGTAAGTTAACCAGTAAGTTAACCAGTAAGTTAACATTTATGTCATTATTGTTGTTGAGTACCTGTGAGTTGCTTCTGACTGATAGCGACTCTGTGTAGGGTTTTTGAGGAATGGCTGATGAATTTGAACCACAGACCTTGGGATTCAAACTGACCTTGCAGTCCAGTTCATTGTCCCACAGCACCACACCAAGAAGGTTGCAGAGGATGCTTTTCTTAGCAGTGTTTATAGTAGGAAAAGCAAACAGGACAAAAAGCAAAGCTGGAGACCACTTCAGTGTATCGCATTAGTCAGTGTGCCACGTAAGTTATTGCCCAGCTATTAAACGGAAAGAGATTGGTTGGGGCTAGTTCTCTGAGACAATAACAGTAAAGTGAGAAGTAATATGACTTAGGTGGTAATTTTGTATGTTTTTTTTAAAAACATACAAAACTAGAATAATGCATGCTCCTTCCTGGGAAGTTGCAGAGGAAACTGTTGATGGTGGGTACCAGTGAGGAGTTAAAATGTTGGATAGAAGTGAGCTCAGTTTCCATTGTATCTTTCCTCTTGTACTATTTGAATTTTGTTTACAGTGGACTTGCAAAGTTTTCATAATCACAATCGATGTTAATTTTTTGCTGTTGTTTTATGTGCACTAATTATATTTTTCTTGGATTTTTCCAGATTTCCCTTGCCCTTTGTTTTGTTTTGATGTTCGGAAACTCAATGTTATTAACTTCTTATTATGCTTCCTCTCTACTAGTTATTTGGGTAAGTATTTGGGGCTACTGGGGAATTTTTCTACAGGAACCTTCTCCATTATCTTACTGAATGCTTCTGTATTGATAAGAGTACGGCAAGTGTTCCCTTCCAAATTTGGTGGGATCTCCAACTACAAGTATAAAAGAAAAAAACATAGCACCTTCTTCACCTTTGTCCTATCTTTTTCTTTCATCATCTTTTCAGTCACTTAAGTTTTGGTCCAAGAGCCTTGGTGGCGTAGTGGGTTAAGAATCGGGCTGCTAACTGAAAGGTCAGCAGTTCAAATCTGCCAGCCCCTCTGAGAGAGAAAGATGAGGCTGAGTATTTCCATAAAGATTTATAGTCTTGGAAACCCTAAGGAGCAGTTCCACTCTGCCTTGTAGGGACATTGTGAGTTGGCATGGAATCCACAGCCATGGCTTGAAGTTTTGGCCCCAGAATTCCAGGAATACCTGTGAGCTCTCGTCTTTCTCTCCTCCCTCTGACTTCCTTTTCTCATTACTCTACCTAAACAGAGGCTGAGACTATATAGGTACCTCTCCCAGGCCTCCCCCATGCCTGTATGCCTGGAATATTGAGATGGTTTTAGGCAGTTGATGAACTGAGTTATATTTTGCTAAATCATTATCAAACACAGTTAGATTATGGGGAAACCGTCATATGGGATTGGAGCAAATGATGAAAGGTCACCTGACTCTTGCCACCATTATCAGGATGACTTTGTAAATAATATGTTGTTGTTGTTGTTGTTAAGTGCTGTTGAGTCGACAGCTCATAGCGATCCTGTACAGAGTTTCCAAGGAAAGGCTGGTGAATTTGAACCGCTGACCTTGTGGTTCAAACTGACCTTGTAGTTGAGTGCTTATCCTACAGTGCAGATATATGTTGTTGTTATGTGCCGTGAAATCGGTTCCGACTCATAGCAACCCTGTACAGAGTTTCTGAGGCTGTAAATCTTTACGGGAGCAGAAAACCTCATCTTTCTCCCGCAGAACACCTGGTAGTTTCGAACTGTTGACCCTGAGTTTCGCAGCCCGATTCATAACCACTGTGCTACCACAGCTCCTCCCTAAGTTTGAAGACTTAAGAGGTAGTTTTATCATTTTACAGTAGGATTTACTGTTACAGTATTTGGCAAACCTGCCAGAGAAAGACATAATTTCTTATATCTAAATTGCCTATGTTGTTGGGTAGGCTGAACTGAGATGTATTCATTCTCCTTGAATCATCATCTAAATGACTCAGAGCACTTTGGTTTTCTTAATTTCTGGAACCCATTAGCAAATTCGGGATTGCCTGTTTCTTTGTCCTGTTACATAAATGTTGTTGTTAAGTGCCATCGAGTTTACTCTGACTCATAGCAAGCCTGTTTGGATTTCCAAGAAGTGGCTGGTGTGGTTCAAACCGAACTTGTGGTCCAGTTCTTATCCTACAGAGCCACACCAGGACTCGATTTGTATTTATTCAGTAATCCATTTCCTGAGAAGAAACCAACAGAAAGCTAGTTATTGTAGTCATTCCCATTTTCCTCATAAGAGAATTATTACTTGCTTGGAATTTATTATGATATTTCTAGAAGGTGAAAGTAACATTCAAAAGGATGTTTTTCCCAAGTGTGATCCAACTAGATTTGTTTACTTGCCTTTTATAATCTGACACATCTGAAAGCTTATTAAAATTGAATGCTAACTTTTAAATGCCCATTATTGACTTAATACTGTGTTTTCTAAGATATGTCCTGTTCTCAAGATTTTAGAAAGTAAGCATCATTTTGATAGTTGGTTTTTTGTTGTTTTTTCAAATGAGGAATATACTGAATGAGTTCTGTAAAAAATAGTTATTTCATTCTCTTCATAGAACGTCACTTCTGGCTATAGTAGAAATATAACTTTTATAGGATATGTCTTCTTCCCAGTCTGGGCCATTATCCTTTCCAAGTATGTGGCTTGAATATATTTAGTTTCATGAATTAGCAGTTAGCATATGTGTTTTCAAGCAAAAAATCCCCCAAAACAAAACAAGAAAATACTTGCTGGCTTGCTTTGGGAATAATAAATCTAGTTCTTGAAGTCAACAAACTCAGCTTTTCATGGATAAATGTGATAATATTATATGGCACTGGTAAGCACTGGGCTACTAACTGCATGGTGGCGGTTCAAACCCACCAGCTGCTGCTTGGAAACCCTATACAGGGTTGCTATCAGTCAGAACTGACTCACTAACACTTAACAACAACAATAGCATATTTAATACACATACATGTAAAGCACTGCGTTTACCCAGTAAAAAATGGATAACTCTTACTCTTGGTGCCTGTGTTCAGGAGATCCACTGAATTGAATATTGCACAGAAGTAAAATCTATTCTAAGTATACTAAGTATACTTTATGGAGTCCTTATGTGCTGTAAGATAAGCACCAGCCCTCCAGGTTGGTTTCAACCTCAAGGTCAGTGGTTCAAGCTCACCAGCTACTCCTTGGGAACCCTATGCAGGGTCGCTGTGAGTCAGAACCAACTCGATGGCACTTAACAACAAGAAGTATGCTTTATAGAACGTTTCTCTTCAGTTCATCACCTGTAGTGTGTCAGTTACCTTACGAGACACTTGAGACCTTGGTGTGTGTTAAATATGAACCAAACATATTTGCATATATTTCATTTATTTTGGTATTATTAACATATGGAATCCTGGTGTGGTGCTGTGGGCTAAAGCCCTAGACTACAAGGTTGGTTTGAATCACAAGGTTGGTGGCTCAAGCTCACCAGCTGCTCCTTGGAAACCCTATACAGGGTTGCTATGAGTCAGAACCAACTCGGCGGCGCTTAACAACAACAGTGTAGTAAACATACATTTGTAATTATCATGTTAAACATGGGTAATACCGAATTTTGTATTCTCATATGTTCAGAAATGTCTGAAAAGTTTTCTTTGGGTTCAAGTATTTTTATTTTGATCTCCAACCATATTTTTATCAACTCTGAAGTCGATACAGACCCCTAAAAGTAATATGCTTTGCAAATCTGTGGACCTGGAAAGACTTGCTTTGACAGAGAGAAGTATTTAGTAAATCCACTACAATCTCATTTCTTGTATTACTCTAAGGGTCAGTGTTTTTAGCTTAAGGGAAAATCTTATGCTTAATTGAAAACTAGCTAATTTATTTCTTACCTAAAAAATCAGATATGCAAAATTCATCTAGAAATCAAATATGTAAAATTAGTCAGAAATTGATATATGATGATTCTGTTTTCAACTTTAAAAGATCACTCACTGACATACTCTCTGGATATAATAGGGCATTTCTTAAAAATCAGTGAACGTATAAATTAGCATTGCTGCTACTTGGAAAATCAACAGTGTGCTGCATTTTAGATTCTTGAGAGTTACTATTGAAATAATTTTTTGGTATTTAAATTGACATCTCAGGTATTGACTCTTACTCTTATTTTTTTTCTATGCAGGCTGTGTTGGCAATGAAACCACATTTGCTGAAAATAAATATATCTGATCTTGGTTTATGGGTAGGAATCAATTTATTTTGAAACATAAGTTTTCCTTCTCTAAAATATATCATTGGCCTTAATGTATTAATCTTAAGGAAATAGTCTATATACTCTAGGGGATCTAACAGTTTATTAATATATTAAGGCTCAATTTTATTGTGTCAAATTGCCCTTTTCGTGAAGCAAGTTAAGAATAATACTCCATAGGTACTTTAAAAATTCCAGTTATGCTGGTTATTCATGTTTCTTTTGAGGAGCAGTGTATGGATAAGAAACTATTAGTGAAAGGGTAACTTAACTGCAATTGCTATATAAATCTCCTAAAAATATGTATTAATTTGACAATAAGATTATATGTATGTTTTTATTTTTAGTTATTGTCCCTTAATTTTGGAGGAACATTCTGTATTTTAATTTAAGATACATTTTTAGCACCTTCTCTTGAATATAGGGATATTTATTTCATGCATGAGTAAAGCATTTATATTTCCCTTCTTAGGCTAGGTCCATGGAATGGCTTAAGCAGTGGAAATACCAAATTATTTTAGTTTTGTTTTTTCTGTCTCTCTTTTTATTTTGTAGGTAATCCAAGGATGTTTTTGGTTATTTGGAACTGTCATACTTAAGTCTTTGACATCTAAAATCTTTGGCATCGCAGATGATGTAAGTGAATTTTTTTGGTTATACTTGAAAGACCTGATACAGAACCACATAAGCTAAGACTGAATTGTTTGAGTCATTGAAGTGCCGCCATATGAACCAATTTCCCGGATGAAGTCTGTTCACCTGTTATTTTATTATATGAAGAGAGTACTGACTATGAGTATGGTCACTCTTCTCCAAAAGGATTTGACTAATTCCTACATTGACCCTTCTATATCACAAAAAAAAACAAAACCCTTTAAATTTAATAGCGAGAAAGCACTAGAGATTTAAGCTCAAATTTTCAAGTCTGTGTAACTATGTTTTATCTGGCTTCTTTACAGTTCACTTCTGAAAAAGATAAAGTTGCCATCTTTGGAGGTTCATAAACTGTAGAATCATATGTAATCCTACTATTCTCCCTCCTCCCCCACCCCCTGTTTTGTTGAATGCTTGAATGTGATTGACTTACAAGCCTTTATAGGTAATAGATATTAAAGTGCCGTTGAGTTGGTTCTGACTCACAGTGACCCTGCATAGGGTTTCTAAGGAGCAGCTGATGAGTTTGAACTAACAGCCTTGCAGTTAATTTGTGTTTAGCAGTCCAGTGCTTATCCTATAGTACCATAATAGGAACTTCAAAAAGGCTTCAGTATTTGCCAACTTAATCCAAGTTGCTCATATTCAGATTTTTTTTTTCTCTCTCATTTGTCATTAGATAGGAGAGAAAATAAAATGAGACAAATTTTGCTTTGTAACTTTAAGGATTTTTCATATCAATAATTGCTTTGACTATTCCATTTTAATTGTTTAATAAACACATCCTAAGTCTAGAGCCTGTGAAAGATTTAATTAAAAACAAAGCAATGCAAGAGTCAACATGAAAAATTAACTAGAGTAAACCACATATTTCTTTCTGTAATGTATTTGTATTGGTTAATTTCCTTCTTTCTGTAGTAGATTAAAGCTGTAGTTTTGAAACTGGATTCTGTGAAGTGTCAGGACTGCCAAGGACTCTTAACATGGGGTCTGTGCCCTCTCCTGCCCACTGCTAGGGTCTCTCGGTCCTAGAGTTTCGTACATATTGGACACTTGTATAGGGGTTCATATGAGCAGGGGAACTGTTTTGCTCAAAAAAGATTGAGAACAATTGGGGTACTAAGTAGGTGATCTCCGACTTTGGAGAGATTTTAAAAGGGTCTTTGTTTAGAGCCTAAAATGTTTTTGCTATTATTATTATTTATTCCATTCTACCTGTACCTGTTTGCATGCTAGAGACATAAAGCTCAACAAGATGCTGCCTAGTGGGCCAGTGTAATGAAGGCGGTAAAGAATCCAGTATGAAGTGCTGGAGGGTCAGGGAAGGCGTCTGGAAGTAACTGGTAGATGAGCGCTGTATGGTGAAGGCGTCCTCTAGGATGCAGGACTAGCCCAAGTCCCAGGCTTACGGAACCTGCTTCCTCACCAGAGTAGGCAGACCAGTTCAGGTTTCAGTTAGTTTTGAATGACTGTCATCATTCATTTTACTGCCTCATGTTACATACCAGGACCATCAAAAGCGCTATAGAAACAGTTACGTTCAAATAAATATTAGCTTTTTTATTGTTAGCGTTAGGTGCCATTGAGTCAGTAGTGACTCATAGCGACCCGATACACAACAGAACGAAACACTGCCCTGTCCTGGGCCAACCTCAGAGTTGTTGCCATGCATTGAGCCCACTTTGCCAATCCATAGAAATTTGTAACCTAGACCCGAGGACATTAGCTTGTAAGCTCTTGGCTTTAACATTGGTCAAGGAATAAAGTGGCAAGGCCACCCAGGTCCTAAGTAGTGTTTTCTACCCATCCATGTCTGTTGAGAATGTTAGGCGTAGTTCTCATATACCCTTCGTTTCCCACCCCTGCCTTTTTCAGCAGTCTTCTTGGGTAGACACCTGATAAGCCAAACACGATGGCTAAGATATTTCCACTTGGCAAATTTGACTTATATCCGACTGTGTCAGCAATGAGTTCCGGTAGCTTTGAAAACCATCTGTTCTTTCAACAGAGTGTAGCATTTAAGATGGTGGGCTTTTCTATTTTGAGTTCTTAGGGTGAAATCTTAGGCTCCTAATTTGAGACTTTTCTAATACAAGTGTTTAAAATTCTACATTTTTCTTCTCGGCTCTGCTTTAAGCTCCATCTTGCCCATTTTGTTATATTTTGTTTTAGTTTTTACCGAATTCCAAATATTTCCTAATTTCCTTTTAATTATTTTTTAACCCAAGGGTTATTTAGATACGTGTTGTTTAATTTTAAATATCTGGGTATGTTCCAGATTTCTTTCTGCTTTTGATTTTTAATGTGATTTTTAAAGAGCTTTTAATAGCCCACTCTATCATCCATCCTAGAGAGTGTACCGTGTACATTTGTAAACAGTTTTGTTTATTATGTTTTATAAAGAACTCCTGGTATAGTGCTATAGGATCAGCACTGGACTGCGAACCACAAGGCTGGCAGTTCAAACCCACCAGCCACTCCTCAGAAGCCCTATATAGGGTCGTTGTTAAGTCAGATCGACATGTTTTGTAAATGTCATTTAGATCAAACTGTTTGATAGTGTGTTTTAAGGCAACTACCTGGTGTGGCGCCGTGGGTAAATGCGCCAGATTGCAAAGCCGTTTGAACTGCAAGGTCGGCGGTTCAAGCTCACCAGCTGCTCCTCGGAAACCCTGTACAGGGTCACTATGGGTCGGAATCGACTCGACGGTACTTAACAACAACAATACTCTTTCTTGGAGTCCTGGTATGGCACTATAGGATAAGCACTAAACTGCAAGGTCGATTGGAACTGCAAGGTCAGCAGGTCAAACTTACCAGCTGCTCCTTGGAAACCTTATATAGGGTCTCTGAGTTGGAACTGACTCCAGGACACTTACTACCACCACCACCAACAATACCCTTTCTAGGAGTCCTGGTGTGGCACTGTTGGATAAGCACTGGATTGCTAATTGCAAGGTCAGCGGTTCAAACCCACCTGCCATTCCTTAGAACCCTATACAAAGTCACTAGGAGTTGGAAATGATACCACGGCACATAACAACAACAGTAACCATACTAAGGGGTCCTGGTGGTGCTGTAGGATAAGCAGTGAACTGCTAACTACAATGCCAGCAGTTCAAACTCACCAGCAGTTCCCCAGGAGAAAGTTGAGGCATTCTGCTCTCATAAAGATTTATAGCCTCAGAAACCTTCCATGGGGTCTCTGTGAGGTGGAATCAAGTCAACGGCAGGGGGTCTGACACCCTTTTTAAGAGCCCAGTGGGGTGCTGGAATACTTTGCTAACTGCAAAGTAAGCATTTTGTACCCACCAGCTGCTGTGTCAGAGAAAGAGGAGGTTGTCAGTTCCCGCAAAGATTTACAGCCTCAGGAACCCTAAGGAGCAGTTCAGCTCTGTCCTACTGGGTTGCTGTGGCTTGGAATGGATTTGATAGTAGTGGACTGTGGGCGCATACTCTTACTAAATATCTCTGTAGAATTTCTATCAGTGATTGAGAATGAGACATTAAGATCTGTAACTATAACTATTGAATGATCTATTTTTGTTTTTCATTTTGTCAGCTCTTACTTTATTTATTTTGGTGCTCTAGTGTACGTTGATAATCGCTACTTCATCTTCATGGTTTGGCCCTTTTGCCATTATGAAGCTTCCTCTTAGTTTCTAGTAATGCTTTTTGTTCAGAAAGTGTCTGTGGTCTGGTATGAAATTGGTACATGTGTGTCTCCCATCTTTTATGGTGACTGTTTGCCCTGGATACTTTATCCATCCTTTGACTGTGTTATTGAATCTGAAATGTGTTTCTGGTAGGCAGCCTATATATAGTTCTGAACCTAAACCAAGCTGCTCCTGCAAAGATACTTTATGGTGCTTGTCACCAGCTTTAGTACAGTGAGCAGGATGCGGGTGAGCCTTCAGAGTATCAGCAGAAAGAGGGGGAACTGTGAAGTTGGAGGGGAAAGCACTTTGTTCTTTCTCAAAAGCATGCCCTGTGTGGCAACACTGGGCTCCTAGTATAGACAAAGCTATTTTTAGATCACATTAAGATTAAGGATAGGCATTTTTGCAACGTGTAGTTTAATGTATTAACTCATTCCATTTCTTACTAGGCTCACATCGGCAACTTATTAACATCAAAATTCCTCAGTTACAAGGATTTTGATACTCTATTGTATACCTGTGCCGCAGAGTTTGACTTTATGGAAAAGGAGGTAAGATGTGATTCCTGGTTTTTCTCTCCTTGTGCCCTAAGGTCTATTTGTTTTTCCATAAAGAGTGCTCTTGTGATTTCAGACCCTTCCCTCTGTGTGCTGTTATCTCCCTTTGAAACATAAAAGGAAATCTGGCAGCTTAAGGAAAACGTTTATATGTACACTATTAGTACAGTTCCCTGAGCCCTATGGCCTTTTCTCATTTGATGACTTAGAAGCATGCATAGAGGCGAGCAGTAGTTCCTGGATGAGTAGACTCAGAGGAAGTTGCCACTTTTCAAAGATGGCCATTAATTTAATGACAAAGCTCTCGGGCTCTCACATTGCCCTTCATTTTGTTGTTCAATTGAGTGATTGCATCACTTTAAAAATATGATTGAGTGCAGGTTTTTCATACCAGCATTTTTCTTGTTTGAAACTGTGCTGAGATGTTTAGAAGGAAACCAGAGAATAGTTTAGTAGATAGCCTGAAATATTGCTTGATGTTCTTGAACAAGGGACCCTCATTCTTTCTGTCAGAGTTTACTGGTTTCCAGAAGTATGCCATAAACAATGTCAAGACAAAATGAGATAATACGTAGGAATGTGCTTTGATATTTTACATCAATAAAATTATTTTTCAGTACTTTATGAGCTACTTTGGTTCAGTATTTTTAATACCACCCCCGGGGCAGTGATTTATCATGACATTCATTTTCTCACTTGTTTTGTTCATAAGTGTGGATTAAACTGGCCCATGGTACTGTGTAGAGATATTTTTTCTCCTCCCTCAGCCTACTGTGTGTGTGAGTGTGCTATTTCCATGGTGCATTGTTTGTGAAAAATCCTGTCCTCTGTATATAACTGTTGGTACCTCAGGACCTTGTCATTTTGTTCTAAATGTTGTTAAGTGCCACCATGTCTCTTCTGACTAATAGCCACCCTGCACAGAATTTCCAAGGCTGTAAATCTTTTTGGTAATAGAAGCCTCATCTTTCTTCTGCAGAGCAGCTGGTGGGCTCCAACTGCTGAGCTGTGGGTCATAGTACATTGATTCTAATTGTTATCACTTTATTAATACTTCTATATAATATCCTTGAAGTCCTGGTGTGGCACTGTAGGATCAGCCTTGGGCTACTAACAGCAAGGTCAGCAGTTCAGACCCACCAAGCTGCTCCTTGGAAACCCTGTAAAGGGTTGCTATGAGTTGGAACTGACTCGATGGCACTTAATAATGACAACGTAATATCTTTAGCCTCCTTCTACTAAGAATAATCCTGAGCTTACTGTTACCAGGAAGGTTGGAGGTTCCATCAGCTTCCCCAAAATAAGCCATGACACACATGGGGTTTCTGTGAGTCAGTCTACTTGGTGGCAACATTATTTCGCCCTTTTTTATTAGTCCCTGAGATGATGGTAGTCCATCATGTTTTAATAGTTCCATTGTATCTTTATTGTCTGCACATATAACAACTCATATTATTCTATCACCTTTATCCCCATCGTTAAATCATGCTTCTGTAGGTAAATGGCTGTAAGTTTTGGGAGTCCTGGTGTGGCGTGGTGGGTTAATGCACCAGACTGCAAAATTGCTTGAACTACAAGTTGATGGTTTCCCCGGATGACATGCCCCAATGTATGTGATACGAAGTCTCACTGTCCTCACTTCTAAGGGAATTATGACTACATTTCTTCCCAGACAGGTTTGTTCATGCTGCTGGCAGTCCCCAGTCTATTCAGTATTTTTTACCAACAGCATAATTCCAAGACATTATCAGTTCTACTTCAGTGTTCCTTATTCTTTGTCCAACTTAGTCATACATATGAGGCGATTAAAGAGACCTTTGGCTGGGGTCAAGCGCACCTCACTTCTCAACGTGACATCTTTGCTTTTCATTTCTCGAATGCGACCATGGGAATTGATTATGGATCCCAAACAGATGAAATCCTTGTCAACTTCAGTCTTTTCTGAATTTACCATGATGTTCCTTATTGATCCGGTCGTGAGGATTTTTATTTTCTTTATATACATTCAGATGTTATCCTCACTGAGGGCTGTAGTCTTCATCTTTATCAGCAAGTGTTTCAAGTCTTTTCAAGACAGCAAGCAATCTTGTGTCAGCTCTAGATTGTAGATTGTTGATGAGCCTTCCTCCAAATCTGATGTTGTGTTCTTCTTCTGATAGTCCAGCTGCTCCGGATTATTTGCTCAGCACACAGATTGAAGAAGTGTGGCGAAAAGATAGGACCCTGATTTTAAACCACTAGTGTCCCTTCTTCAGTGTGAATGACTGCCTTGTGGTCTATGTACAGATTCCTCATGAGCACAATTAAGTGTTCTGAAATCCCCATGTTTCACAGTGTTATCCATAGTTTGTTATGATTCACACTGTCAAATGCCTTTTCATAGTTAGGCTGCTAACCTCAAGGTCAGCAGTTCGAAACTACCAGCTGCTCTGAGGAGAAAGATGAGGCTTTCTGCTCCCATAAAGACTTGCAGCACCAGAAACCATATGCATGGTCGCAATGAGTCGGAACCGACTCCACAGCACACCACCCCCACCAGTACATAAGTGAACATCTCTCTGGTAGTCCGTGTTTTCAGCTAAGAGTCATCTGACATCAGCAATGATATTCCTAGTTCCATGTCTTATGAATCCAGCTTGAATTTCTGGCAGCTCCCTGCCAATGTCCTGCTGCAGTCATTTTAAAATTATCTTCAGCAAAAGTTTATTTCTGTGTGATACTAATATTTTTTGATAATTTCTGCATTCCATCAGTTCACCATTCTTTGGAATGTTCACAGATATGACTGCCTTCTATGGTTGGCCAAGAAAGTGTCTTCCAATTGTCTTCGAATAGATGAGTGAGTGCTTCCAGTAGTCCATACATTTGTTGAAACATCTCAATTGATATTCTTCAATTCCCAGAACTTTCGTTTACATCAGTGTCTCAGTACAGCTTGGACTTTTTCTTTCAGTACCATTGCTTTTTGATTGTATTCTGCTACCTCCTAATATGGTTGAACATTAACCTGTTCTTTTGGGTACCATGACTCTGTATTATTTCCATCTTCTTTTAATGTTTCCTGCATCATTCAATATTTTGCCCAAGTTGTTTTTGTTGTTAAGTGCTGTCGAGTCAGTTCCAACTTCTTGTGCTCCTGTAAGCAACAGAATGAAGCTCTACACAGCCCTGCACCATCCTCACAGTTGTTAGGTTTGAGCTCATTGTTGTAGCCACTGTGTCAATATGTATCATTGAGGGTCTCCCTCTGCTTCACGGACCCTCTATTTTACCAAGCATGATATCCTTTTCCAGGGACTAGACCCTCCTGAGCATGTTCGTCCTTTTTGGTTTTCTGGTGAAAGCAGAGATTATCAGAGAGATGTTTACCTGTGCTTTATTGACTACACAAAAGCTTTCGATTGTGTGGATCCTGAAAAGCTATGGACAATATTATGAAGTATGATTATTCCGGAACACTTAACTGTGCTCATAAGGAATCTGTACGTGGACCAAGAGGCAGTTGTTCGAACAAAACTAGGGAACACTGGATGGTTTAAAATTAAGAAAGGTGTAGGACACGGTTGTATTCTTTTACCATACTTATTCAGCCAGTATGCTGAGCAAATAATCTGAGAAGCTGGGTTATATAAAGGAAAACGTGGCATCAGGATTGGAGGAAGACTCATTAACAACCTGCGATATGCAGATGATACAACCTTGTTTGCTGAAAGTGAAGAGGACTTAAAATACTTACTGATGAAGATCAAAGACCACAGCCTTCGGTGTGGATTGCATCTCAATGTAAAGAAAACAAAAATCCTCACCACTGGACCAATAAGCAACATTCTTATCAATGGAGAAAAGATTGAAGTTGTCAAGGACTTCATTCTTCTTGGATCAACTATCAACACTCATGGAAGCAGCAGTCAAGAAATCAAATGTCGTATTGCGTTAGGCAAATCTGTTGCACAAGACCTTTTTAAAGCGTTGAAAAGCAAAGATGTCAGCTTGAGGACTAAGGTGCGCCTAACCCAAGCCATGATATTTTCAATAACCTCATATGCATGCAAAGTTGGACAATAAGTAAGGAAGACCATAGAAGAATTGATGCTTTTGAGTTGTGGTGTTGGAAGAGAATATTGAAAGTGCCTAGGACTACCCATAGAACCAACAGATTTTTGTTGGAAGAAGTGCAGCCAGAGTGCTCCTTGGCGGCCAAGGTAGCCAAACTTGGTCTCTCATACTTTGAACATATTGTCAGGAGGGACCAGTCACTGGAGAACGATACCATGTTTGGTAAGGTGGAGGGTCAGAGAAAAAGAGACCTCCAGCGAGATGGATTGGCCAAGTGACAGTATCAGTGGGCTCAAGCGTGGCAACAATAGTGAGGTTGGCCCAGGATCGGGCAGTGTTTCTTTCTGCTGTGCATAAGGTCGCTATGAGTCGGCACCGACTCGATGACACCTAACAACAGCAGTCCCTCCTGGTGATATATCCAAAGTATGTGAGACGAAGTCTTGCCATCCTTGCTTCTAAGGAGCATTCTGAATGGCTATAGTTCTTCTAAGATAGATTTGTTTGTTCTTCTGGCAGTCCGTGGTACACTCAACAGTCTTCACCAACACCATAATTCAAGTCCTTCAGTATTTCACCTGGAGGTTTGAATTATTTTCTTCATTTCCTTATGCTTGAGAAATACTAGGTATGTTCTTTCCTTTGACTTTCTAACTCCAGTTCTTTGTACATTTCATTACAATGCTTTACTTTGTCTTTTTAAGCTGCCCTTTGAATTCTTCTCATTAGCTCTTTTTCTTCAGTATTTCTTTCATTCACTTTAGCTACTTTATGTTTAAGAACAAGTTTCAGAGTCTCCTCTGGCATCCATTTTGGTCTTTTCTTTCTTTCTTGTCTTTTTAATCCCACAACACCAGAGTTTAGAATAATATTATCTAAAGATTCTCTCTTTAGTAATAGCTTTAAAGGCTCTGGTATTTCAGTGGATACGTGCTTGGTTCAAACCCACCCAACAGCTCTGCTTAGAATGACCTGGTGATCTGCTCTCATAAAGATGACAGCCTAGACAACTCCATGGGCAATTCTCATCTGTCACCTGGGGTTACTAGGAATCAAAATCGACTCGATAGTCCCCAACAACAACATGGAATAATGAGTGTAAAAATCAGAAAATGCTACTTCTGGTATACTTTGTAGAAGTAACTACCACTGGTATTTTTAATGTGGTGGAGGCTGGATTTCTCTTAAAGAAAGTATTTAGAAAGGCAGATAGTAGCGGACTCAATAATATATGTTTATTTTTCTAACAGGAGAAGTTGTGGAAAGCAAATAAATGACAGTAGAAATTTCTAAACCAACGTTTTCCAAGACTGGCCTAAATAAATGAGAGGATCAGAGGACTGTAGTGTTAACAAAGCTTTGTTACTGAATGTATGTGTGTTTGTATGTGTGTATCTATTCATATTCCCCACAAAGTATACAAGAGAAGTTTATGAAAGGAGCTTTACTGATCTTAGATTATTATTAAATCTCTAGTTAGGCAAGTCTTGGACAAAAACTTAACCACCCTATTTCATACTTACAAGCATTTGGGAATTGTATTTGTGAGTATTTCCAACTCTCCATTCTAGGGAAGTTTGTTTCTGAGGAGCATACACCTTCATTTTTATTGTAGGAGACACTAGGTAGGTTGGACCCTAGATGGATGAATGCTTCTATGTCTTTACTTACACTTTTTAAAAGCTTCTCTTAGGTCATTACCTTAAATGAACTTTTGTCTGTCTAAAATAATCTTTCCCCCTTAACAAAACATTTCTCTGAATTTCAGACTCCATTGAGGTATACCAAGACCTTGCTGCTTCCTGTGGTTCTTGTCGTGTTTATTGCAATTGTTAGAAAGGTATGTTATTGCTTAGGAGTTCTTCCTTGTAATAAACCATGTCCTTGTTGTTACATAATTATATATACTTAATGTGATATAATTTCTTATATGTACTTAATGAAATATATTCTCTGCTTTCTTCACAATCACAAGCCTTTAAGATACTCTGCTGTCGGATAGTATAAAATAGATACAGGAAAAGGTTGTATCAAGCTAGATTCTATATAAAGAGAAGTTTATATCAAAGAAATGGCTTACACAGTTGTAGAGATGGACAATTCACAAGTCTGTGGGTCAGATGAGCCAAGATCTGCAGGTCAGACAACACGTAGGCAGGCCAGACAGGTAAGATGGTAGGCTGCTGACGACTGTCAAGATCGGCAGGCAATAGAGCAGGCTACTGGCTCAAGTCAAAATGAACTGGAAGTTGGATGATGAGCCAGATGTAGGACCCAGACCCAGCAGAAGGCAACCAGGCTTTGCCCAAGTGTCCAATATACTGGAAGCTGGCTCCACCCCTGAGGAAACTCCCTTTTACTTGATTGGCTGCTCACAGCAGATCTCATTACATTATATTAGATCACGTCATGGGGTGATGACTGCATCTTTACTGCCAATCCACTGAGAATCCTGACCCAGCCAAGTGACACAAAACCTGACTTATCACAGGATGGCTCAGGTTTTCATAGTGATGTTATTTTGAAAGAAACAATTGAAGAGACCGTGGGCTCCCAGATAACAACTTGCTTTGCCCAGATAAATCATTACAGATATTTTAAAGCCTGTCACCTGAAAATATGATTGGCCTCATTCAGACTCCTCAGGAAGAAGTCTAGCCAATTCTGGAAGACAAGACTTTGGACTTCCAGAAGGGTCCAGAATAGGGAATAGGAAATGGCCAGCAAAGTGTTACAGATTCAAGTAGTGCTTGGATAGTTCTGTCCGGGGCTGCATGTAAGCCTGTCCGAAGTGTTGGGGGAAAAATGTCAGGACTGTATATAGGATTTCAGAGTAGGTGACCTCTTCGTTTCTGCTGTGTATGAAAAGGTTGTGGATGCATTGTCAGATGCCTACAGCTGTGGCTCTCAACCACTGAGCCAGTTTTGCCGTTTTGTGGATGTATAATGAAGAGGGTGCATTGCCAACAACCGTGGCATGATGGGAAGAAGTGCTGAATGTGAATTTGAAACTGGAAGACCTGTGTTCTTAGTAACTACTAAGAGATTATGATCTTCACAAAGATCATTTAATCCATTTGAGCCTGCATGCCATTAGCAAAAAAGATTTAAAAAAAAAAAAGCTACCTTACAGGATTGTTGGGTATTAAGTTAGATATGATCAAACACTGTAGAAATATAAGATTATGGTGTTAAATATTTCATGAATGTTCTCATATTTCTATACTTCTCTTATTTCTAATGGAAAGTTTTAAAGTTTGTTTTAGTAAAAATTTTGCATTTCCCAAGACTGCTAAAGTATTTTTAAATCTATTTACAGATTATTAGTGATATGTGGGGTGCCTTATTTAAACAGCAAACACATATAAGGTAAATATGCTGAAAATAATCCTTATAAACTTCTTTTTTAATCTATGAAACACAGGCATTTACACTGCATTTAGTTCATATTTACATGTTCTGCCCTCGGCATTTGGTAATTGATCTTTTTGATTATCATTCCCCTTCCTTGCTTTTCTCATCATTCCCTATCTGCAGAACACAGCACACATTCCTCATTGAGACCTCCAGTGTTATCAGTACAGTCTGGCAGAAGCCCTGTGCATAGGCTACACTAGAAGGACACAGTTTCATTCTTCAGTCTGTCATGGAAAATGCATTCTTCTTTGATGGGTTTCAGGACCAATAGACTGTTTTTATTAGAGAATGGTAGGGCAGAAATACAAAGATGGATCCAGATCATTTTATACAGCGCAAATTCCAGACAGAGAAAAAAATTTAACTGTACTGAAATGAAATCCCAGGAAGATGTTTTTATAATCTTCTTTTAAGGTTGTGGTTGTTGATGGGAGTTGTTTGTCACCCAGTCATTTCTGACTCAGCGACCCTGCAGAGGACTTCTGAGGATGTAAATCTGTACAGGAGCAGAAGGCCTCATTTTTCATTCTCCCGATGAGCGACTTGTCAGTTTGAACTACTAACCTTGTGGCTAGTAGTTCACTCATAGTCCACTGTGCTATGAGGCGTCTTTATTTTAAGGTTGTTTTTGTGAAGTGCCGTTGAGTCAATTCCGACACATAGCAACCCTATATAGGGTTTCCAATGAGCAGCTGGTGAGCCTGAAGCCCTGAACTTGCAGTTCAAACGACTTTGCAATCTGACGCATTAGCCCACAGCGCCACACCAGGACTCCTATTTTAAGGTAGATGACATAAAACCCATAAGCTAGAAGGAAAAGTGTACTAAAGATGGAGTAAGCATTGTTAGATTAAGAAAAAGGGACAAATTTAAATGGAAGAGGGGCAAACATTTGCAATGTATGATAAAGAATATATATCATATTAAAAACTCATACAAATTAATGAGAAGATGGTAAAGACCCATTCGAAAAATGAGTGAAGTACACAAAGAGGCATTTCAGAGAACAAGAAGTTTACCTTCTCGCTTCCCCACCTTGTGTGTTGTGTGGATCCTGTGGACCTCCTCTCGGTTCTGTAGCCATGCAGCATGATGTCCTGCCCGGGAATTTTGCTGGAATGGTTCCCTAGACCCATTATTGTCTCTCTTCCCTTAGTGTGGCTTTCTGCATGGCTAAGTCCTTGGCTTAAATGTCACCTTCTTCAATAAGCAACTTTTGACCATCATTTCAGAGTGGATTCCTTGTCTTGTCCTCAGTGTTGTCCACCCTCACACCCTGTACGATTCCTTCTCAGTGTCTGCCATCATTTGCATCATGTGCCTGTATCCAGCCATCATGTCACTTCCCATGTGATGGCTGGATACATGATGAGGTGCTCAATTTTGTAACAACAGAATTCACAGTAGAACAAAACTCTCCTTATTGGCCAGATTTGTCAAGATTAAAAAGATCAGTTCTCTCCAGTGCTTACAAGGGTGGGAGAAAATAGGTCCAAAAGGGTGGTTTGGCAATACCTAGCCGAACACATGAAGAATAGGTCTGCCCTTTAAGCCAGCAGCTCCACCAGTGCAACTGTGTCATTATCGGAATGGTCCTAGGAAAGCAGAGATAGTGTGAAAAGATGATCACCGGGAGCTTGTTTGTGATGTGAAAAATGGAATCAAGCAAAATGCTTGTTACTAAGGAATTTGTTTCCATTGTGGCCCAGTCGTAAAGTGAAATGCTGGAAATTGTTCCCTACCACATTATTCGATAAAAAAAAAAGTCACAAAACATTATATATAAGATGTTTACCTTTGGTTAAAACATGGAGATTTTGTATATGTGTTGTGTTGTATGTGTTTGTGTCATATAACTGTGTGCTCCAATATTGAAAATATGTACGTCTGGAAGGATAAAAATCCCTAATTATTGAGAGTATAAGATTAGAGGATGGAATGAAAGAATTTTAATTCTATTTTCATGAGATTTTTTTGTTTGTTTGTTTGTAGAGTAGTTATTGTTGAATTCATTTGTGTCTATGCTTTGTCTTAAAATCTGGCTTTGTGTTATTTTTTTCAAATCTAAATCTCTGCCAACCCAAGAATTCATTATTGCATATTCTCCTGAGAGCATCCTTGTTTCATGTAGACACAGTTTCCTGTAATAGTGCCCTTTTTTATCCCCAAAAGATTTGAGTTGAGGACCAGGGACAAGGAAAAGGTTCTGAAATACTGTGTCAGAATTTTTCTTCATTTGAGGCCTGAGAAGGGGATGTAAAGGTGTATAGTACACGGTTCTAGAGGGAAAAAGTAGAGCCTTTCACAGAAACAAAGCTATCTTTTCAAGAATCACTCAGCTATAGACATAACAATAGAAAGCCAACAGACGTCTTGAGGTTCAATTCATGTAGAATCAGAGCTTTTGTTTTTGAAGGGGAGTGACAATATTAACTTACTTCCTATAACCACTGAAGTCAAAGGACAACATAAAAAGAAAAGGAGAAAGATCAGGTGACAGTGTTTAAACATTTTATCAAGAGTACCAGTATCAAACAGAAGAACTATAGAAAGAATCAACAGGACAAAAAGCTGGTTTTTTGAAAGAATTAAAATAATTGACAGACCTTTGGCAAAACTAACAAAAGAAAAGAGGGAGAAGACACATAACACGTGTTAGAAACCACATGGGCGATGTCACAAAAGAACCAAAGGAAATCAAAAGGATAATAACACAATACTATGAAGAGTTGTACTCCAACAAATTTGAAAACTTAGAAGGGATGGATACAATTTTAGATAAACACGACCTACCTAAACTTATACACAGTGAAGTAGAAAACTTGAACAGACCCATAACAAAAGAAGAAATTGGTCACGTCTTCAAAAGACTCCCAACGAAAAAAAGTCCAGGCCCAGATGGCTTCACAGGTGAATTTGACCAAACATTCAGGGAAGAACTGTCACATATTCTACTCAAATTATTCCAGAACATAGAAGAGGATGGAAAATTTCCTAATACATTTTATGAAGCAAGCATAACCCTCATACCAAAACCAGGGAAGGATGTCACAAAGAAAAAATTATAGACCAAAACCCTCATGAACATAGATGCAAAAATTCTCAACAAAATCCTAGCCAACAGAATCCAGCAACACATCAAAAAGATAATACATCATGATCGAGTGGGATTCATATCAGGGATGCAAGCATGGTTCAACATTAGAAAAACGATAGTTATCCACCATATAAATAAGAAAAAAGAAAAGAACCACACAATCATATCGATTGATGCAGAAAAGGCATTTGACAAAATCTAACATCCATTCCTTATAAAAACACTCAATAAAATAGGAATTGAAGGGAAATTCCTCCACATAGTTAAGAGAATATATACAAAACCAACAGCCTACATTACTCTCAATGGAGAGAAACTGAAAGACTTCCTTCAGCGAACAGAAACCAGACAAAGATGCCCTTTGTCAACACTACTATTCAATACTGTGCTGGAAGTCTCTTAGCAAGAGCTATATGGAAAGACGGGGAAATTAAAGGCATCCAAATTGGCAAAGAGGAAGTAAAACTCTATTTGCAGACGATATGATCCTATACATAGAAACCCCCAAAGACTCAGTAAAAAAGCTACTAGACCTCATTGGAAGACTCAGCAAAGTGACAGGATATAAGATCAACATAAATAATCAGTTGGATTCCTTTATGCCAAAAGCGGCAGCATTGAAAAGGACATTAGGAAAGCAATACCATTTACGATAGCCTTCCAAAGGATATAATATCTAGGAATAAATGTAACCAGAGAAACAAATGACTTATACAAAGAAAACTACAAAACACTACTACAAGAAACCAAAAGAAACCTACAAAAATGGAAGAATGTGTACCATGTTCCTGGATAGGAATACTTAACATTGTGAAAATGTCAATACTACTACCCAAAGCAATTTTCACATATAATGCAATCCCAATCCAGACTCCAGCAACATTCTTCAAAGAGATGGAAAAAGCAACTACAAACTTTATATGGAAAGGAAAGAGACCCAGGATAAGCAAAGCACTGCTTAAGAAGAAGAATAAGGTTGGAAACCGCTCACTCCCCAACTTCAAAATTTACTACACGGCTACAGTGGTCAAAACAGCTTGGTACTGGTACAATGAAAGATACATAGACCAATGGAACAAAATCAAGAATCCAGAAATGAACCCATCTACATACAGCCAACTGATTTTTGACAAAACACCTAAACATATCGCATGGGGAGGTGATAGTCTCTTCAACAGATGGTGCTGGCAGAACTGGAAAGCAATATGCAAAAGATTGAAACAAGACCTTCACCTCACACCTTATACAAAACCAACTCAACATGGATTAAAGACCTAAATATGAATCCCAGAATAATGAAGGCCATCAATGAACAAATAGGGACAAATGTGAGGGCACTAATTCAGGGAATACACAGACTACCAAACATTTTGAAAAGTACACAAACACAAGTAGACAAAATAGATGAGTGGGACATACTAAAAATTAAAAACTTATAAATAAATAAAAATCAAAAGACTTCACCAGAAGAGTAAAAAGGGAACCCACAGATGGGAAAAAATCTTTTTCAATGACATATCAGACAAGGGACCTATTTTGAAAATATATAGGAAACTACTATGGTAGCGTAGTGGTTATAAATCAGGCTGCGAACCGCAAGGTCAGCAGTTCGAAACCACCAGCTGCTCTGCGGGAGAAAGATGAGGCGTTCTGCTCCCGTAAAGATTAACAGCCTCGGAAACCCTGTGCAGGGTCGCTATGAGTTGGAACCGACTCCACAGCATACAACAACACCTCTACAAGCTAAAGACAAATAACCCAATTTAAAAATGGGCACGGGACATGAACACTTCACCAAGGAGGAGATCCGGGCAGCCAACAAACATATGAAGAAATGCTCACGATCAGTAGCCCTTAGAAAGATGCAAATCAAAACAACAATTAGATATTGGCTCACACCAGCAATAACAGCAAAGATCAAAAATGTAGAGGACAGTGAATTCTGGCAGGGATGTGGAGAGACTGGGACACTCTTGCATTGCTGGTGGGACTGCAAAAGGATCCAACCTCTTTGGAAAGCAATGTGGTGCTTCCTCAGAAGGTTGGAAATAGAAATACCTTATGATCCAGCAATTCCTCTACTTAGTATTTACCCACAAGAACAATGCGCCATAACACGAGTAGATTATGTGCATACCAATGTTCATAGCAGCGCTATTTACAATAGCAAAAAGATGGAGACAGCCAAAGTGTCCATCAACTGAAGAATGAATAAACAAACTCTGGTACATACACACAGTGGAATATTAGGCTACCTTGAAGAATAACAAGGAAGCTACAAGCCACCACATAACATGGATGAACCTTGAGGGCATTATGTTGAGTGAAATTAGTCAGTAACATAAAGAGAACTACTGCATAGGACCACTACTGTAAAATACTAAGAAAAAGAACCCATACTAAAGGGGGATGGATTCTTTGCTGGTTGCTGGGATGTGGGGAGTAAAGGAAGGGGAAAGAGGCGAAAGTGAAGCATAGGGCAGGGAATTAGATACAGAATAGTTTGGGTGCTGGGGAGGGGGGCAGTATACAAGAAGGGGGACAGCAATGGAAGAACAAAGCGGATAAGAAAACAATTAGGCAGGTTTGCATGGGCTAAGAGGGGACAGAGGAAAACAATTATTTATGCACAACCTTGGAACAACAGGTTTCTGGGATACAGGGATTGAGACATGGCTGAAATGGGGAAAAGGGGGGAAATAATGCTAAGATGCTTGGCTGTCTTTTGAATCTTAGTTTCCCTGGCATGCCATTATAAAATATAAAAAGGAATAGCCAGAAATATTACCACAGAAAGCCTGTAAGTCTGTGTTCTGCTTGTAACAGATTGGAATATCTAAAATGGAGCTACAACATGCCCAGTGAAGTAGGCTTCCTGCCGAGCCTCTGCATTACATAAGACTATAGGTGGAATCCTGAACAGCATCCAGAATCTTCAGAGGTGGAAATTTCCACTTGAAAGGACAAGCAGACCAGCATGGAGCTGCTAGAAGAACAGAAGATACTTCTTGAAAGACAGACCAACAGGAAAAATACAAAACA